AAAAAAAAAAAAAAAAAAAAAAAGGACACACAATTCGTTAAAAATCGAAATTTCAACGCGCGATATATATTTTCAATCCTCAATTGCTATCATTCCGCGGAACGTAATATTAATTAGTAGATTCACTGGAATGTAAAAATACAGGTTAGTTCCTCCTTACTTATCCTTTATATTATATTCAACAAAAAATATCAATCTTGTCGATCAAATATTTAAGTTATTTGATCGAGAGAGAGAGAGAGAGAATTTGAATCTGAGTTTCAATCTTAAAATTTTCCTTCTCTCGCGCTTTTCGATTCACCGCGCGTTCCCGCGCGTGAATGAACTTAATGACGCGTTCTCGCGCGAGGTTATGGAGAAATGCAAAATTGGCGAACCGAGTTAAAGGTCGTCGTCGCCGTCGTCGTCGCGGCTTGCTAGACGCGAGGCTCATTCCAGGCTGGCTGTGGGTTGACTCGCGCCTTCGAGCCAGGCTCCGGGGCACATTTAAGGATTTGTCTCGGGAAATTAGATTCTCGCCTGACTTGCAGCCTCGTTGCATCCCGTTTCTCCACGGATTCTTACCCCCTTCGTCCACCCGTTCCTTCGAATTTCCCCTCCTTAGCCCCGAGTACTTTTCATCGAGCGTTTGTTCCGCGAGGGGGCGAGGGGCTGGCACCGTGGGGACACGGGGAGAATTGGACCTTTGTCGAGCTAAGTGTTAACGTGCTCGCGCGGCTTCCCTTCAGCTATAAGGCCTTAGCCGAGAAATCGAGGAAGGAATTAACCCTCGGGAAATTATCTTCTCGCTGGACTTTGGGAGAACAAAGCGAACATACTGTTTGACACCGTGCTTCCTTTTATCGCTCTCCTCGCCTCGCTAATACGATGATCCTTTCCTTTTTTCTCTCTCTCTCTCTCTCTCTCTCTCTCTCTCTCTTTCTTTCTTTCTTCCACTCCTTTCGATCTTTCTTCGTTTAGATTGGTTTTCTTAACCCGCTATTATCGCGTTGATTCGATTAAGGGAACGAGAGGAGGAAGAAGAAGAAGAAGAAGAAGAAGAAGAAGATTATATCGTGGAACGTGTAAAAAAAATTGGAGATGGAGCAAGGTGTTCTCTGTTATTTTAGAGGGTAATTCAAATTTTTCATCGAAGGGATTGATTGTTTTTTCACGTTAACGATTAATAATTCTTTCTTTGATTCTTTGATCGAAATAAGGGGAATTATTAGTTCGTCGGGGAAGAATATACGATAATTTTGTTCGAAAAGAACTTTGGTTTGCATTTCGCGTGATGTTTTTTTTTTATATTTGAAAAATTTTTCTTCCACTCTCCGGGTATTTTTACTCGACAGCAGGAAGAACGCTCGATGACAATGTATTTTTATGATAATACCCAATCAAGCTTAAACTGTAATTTTTATCTATAATCGATCGGTTCTCCGATATTTTAAAACTTTTATTTTTCCAAAGGTCCTCGAAAAATTATGCATGAAACGATCCGAGAGTTAACGCGCGCAAACTTCGAAGCGAGCAATCTTTATTCAGGCGTGACCTAATCCCTGTGTCAATACACTTATTTTTAATATTATAATTTCAAAACTCTCTCCGTTACGTAATACAACACGTGCTCGCGTGTAAAATTATATTACGAGCATTCCAAAAATATCTTCTTCGCTTCTAAAAATCAACATAACGACATACAGAATAAATTTAAATTCATCCCACTTGAAACAATGAATTCTTTAACGTTCACGAATCGTGAAAAAAATATCGATTAAAAGGAAGAAAAAATTTTTCGAAATAATAAACCCTCTCCCTTCGTTAAATGCGCCATGATTGCTGACCCATACGTAACTTCCCCCTACCTATTTACACCATCGTTCGAATCGAAACCCTGAGGAGCGAGCGCGTCGTCCTCGTCCTCTCATAATCCTCGAGGATTTCTTGCCACTCGGACCGAGCCGCGCCTGCGTCACGTCGGCCGGCTCAAAGTTGGCAGCAATGAAGGGAAGCTTTCGAGAGTCCCGATATCCCGGGATACGTTTATCTGCTGGAACATGGTAGGGCGAGCGAGCGATGGCGGTAGGAAGCAAGTCGGATCGCCAAGGGATCGAAACTTATCTACTTGCTCAACTAGCTGCTCCGGCCACCACCACCCACCCTTATCCACTCGCGGGGAACTTGGTCTATACCCTTCAACTCGGCCAACTTCAGCGCGAGATACGCATTTCTCAAATCTGTTTCCGTCTTTGTACGCTTAATTCCGCCCATCACCGTACTTGATACTTGAATCGTTGGGCGATATTCTCTCGAATTTTCTCCTTGAAAATATTTGACGAAAAATTCGACGAATAATTTAAATGTTATACAAATCTTTTGCCTGCTCGTGACTTGAATTCAGGTGACGATTTATTGAATCGCTTCGAATTTTCCAATTTTATTACGATATTAAAAATTTTAATTAACGCGTCGTTCATTCCTTGTTTCTTTCTTCGAAACGATCAACGAAACACACGTCCTCGACATGAATATAAATAAATAATACAGAAAAATGCTCGTTAAATATAATTGGACAAGCATCCTTCAGATTACTATACTTATATCTTACCTTAAAGGAATCTATAATATAGCGCAATTAAACCTCGAGCCATCGTTTCACGATTCTCTCTAATATCACAGAAAAAAAAATAAATAAAAGGAAAGAAACCAAGATCCTTTCAACATTTTCGGTAACAAGGCATTTATCCTTCCAACACCTTCTTCAATTATCCCTTATTCCGGTACGAGCGCGACAAAAGACAACGCCGATGAAACGAGCGAGTTAACACGATCCGCAACACCGGATCCTGGAAAGCGAGTCGAAAGTTGATACGCGAAAGGGGACAAAAGGATACCACGTTCCTTCCTTCCTTCCTTCCTTCCTTCCTTCCTTCCTTCCTTCCTTCCTTCCTTGCAGGTCGACGAAGACGGATCGTTGACGAAGTTCGGTAACACCGTGATTGAAGTCTTGCAACTACGTGGATACGCGTTGGTTATACCAGCCGATGGTAAGTAAGACGGTGGAAGCAGAAGCAGTGACAGCGTTGAGCTCTGGATCACTCCTCCTGCATCCGCGTCAAGCCGGGGCTTTGTGGGGCCACACCGACCGGAGATTACAATGGCATCTACGCCAGATTAGCATATGAATTACGGGGGCCCCTTCATCCACCTCCGCCCCCCTCCCACGCGCGTGTCTCCCTCCCCCCCGATATCCTTTCCCATTCCCTTATCCCTCTTTCTTCGTCTTCTCGATATACTTTGCCCCTCCCAAACGTTGCTCCCTCCCTCTCTCCCCCCTCCGCCCTTTGCGCGATTTACCTCGTGCGCGTTCCCCCTATTCAGGCCCGTTTGAGCGTACAGCTTCGAGAGGTAGCCGAGGCATCAAGTTGGCCGAATTGCTCGGCTACCTACTCGGCCAGAATGCACGTTCTTTGGGTTCATGTTTCCGTGAATTTTGGGAACCGATATTTGGACGGGTTATTCGCGATATTCCATTATGCGTGCGAACAGTGTGCGTGCGCGCGCGCGCGCGCGCGAGAGCTTCTAAACGTTCGAACGATTACGAACGTTGTGCGAGCGAACGGGGAAGGAGAATGGAATATATATATATCTCGTTACTTCTTTCGTCGCACGAAATTTGGGAAATTTAATAATAGGGGGAAGGCTTCCGTCGTTCGAATTGTTGATAATTAATTTAATAATAAACGGGTAATAATAGGGCAGTCCAATTTAATTGTTTTCGTAAAATAAACCGAATTGTCTCATTAGCTGTCGGGGGAGAGGGAAATATCGCGTAAATTGCTTTTATTGACTCGAATTAAGTTTCATTACGTTCGAAGGTAAAGTTGGACGAATTTATTAATTCGTATTAACGGTAAGGGCGAATCGTGTCGATGTCGTGAAATTCTAATAATTAATCTGCGTCTCGTTTCGTTTCGGGAATAATATATATGTATATATGTATAGATAATTTTGTCTTATTGAGAAAATTGTGGATGGGCAATTATTTTTATTATTATCGATTAAATTCGAACGGATACGCGATGTTTAAATCGGTAAAGTTAATATTGCTGGCAAAGCTGGTATGATATTTCGTCGAAAATTAACCGTCTAAATTGTTTCATAAGCATCAATTATTTAATTCTCATAAAAGGAGAATATGCGCGTGCACGATATATTTGATTAAATTTCTCCTCCCCCTCCAGCTCGCCAGCAATTCATGATTATAAATAGGTACTAATGTTATGCAAACTGAAATTATAAAATTATAATACCATAACTTGAATGGAATCGCATCCTGGCTTGCAACAAAAAGTTTGCAACAACACCGTGTACGATCACATTTTCGCGGTTTCAAATTTTATTTACCGGGAAGGGGAAAGTTCCGAAATATATCACCGGATCGAAACTTTTTAATATCGATGATAATAATAATTTTAACGAGTCCAAGTCGTTACCACTCTAATATATCGAATTACGTTCTTAATTTAATTTTCCATAATTTTCAAGGTCTTTTTTTATCAGCACGGTGGATAAGAATATCGTACAAAGTGCAACGGTAATTAGAAAATAATTCGATACACAAGTTCACCAAAAGTCCCTTAATTTCTTCTTAAGTGCATCCAACTTGCTTCTTTCTTCAATTAAAATGAATTAATCGAATTTCGTTCGATTCGTCGTATTAATTTCCAATTATATATTTCATTTACCTTCGATCGTTATTTACAACAATATATAATAATAGATCGATTAAGAATCAATTTATTTCTTCTGTTACAAAACAGGAAAAATCGTAATAAGAAAAATATTGCATCGACATCGATTTCTGCTTTATCTCCCCTCTACGTGTTACAGCATGTGTAAACCTGATAACCAGTCAATTGTTATCTTATTTTTTTAGGCCCGACCATCCATCGTGCGTTTCCATAAAATTTAGCTTCAGTGTGGAAGCGAAAAACAGAGAGAGAGAGAAAGGAAAAACCGAACAAATCGGGGATAAAAATGGTTGGCGTTATTTTCAATACGAAATTAATAAATAGTACCTAACTCGAAAACGATGCGTGTATTATATATGGAAACGAAATTTTTATCAGGGCACGCTCCTCTGTGTTTGCTCGATTGAAAGTTACGTATGGGTTGACAACGTTGTATTAATGCAAACGTTATATAGCGAATGCTTTCCAATTCGATAAAAATATTTCATTGCTCGCTATTAAACCGGTTTTATTTTTTATCCAACCTTTTGATCGATAACGCAGGGCTTTTGTTATATACATGTATATAGATGTATATTTTGCCCTACCATAAGCGAACAAATTGTAGTTTTCAATAGTAACCTGAACACAATACACGTTTCCATCGGTGAAGCTTTAATAGCTTTTAAGAAATATTGAAAATATTACAATGCTGCATTATCAAGCTAAATGTTTACACGAAATATTTTTAATATCACGTGTATATCGACGAAAAGAAAAAGTGACGATTGTATTTTTCCTCCTTTCGAAAATTTTCTTTCGCAATTAACAATCCAACGAATCGTCGAATGAACGATATTATTAATGAGCTAAAAAAAAAGGAAAAGTATTCGAAACGATTTCGGTTAAAGATTATTATTTTTTCTTCGCGGTTAAAAAATCTGAATGATTCGATCGCTTATCCTTACCTCCGCGGTTTTCACTGTCCGCCGGCTTCACTTGAATAGGACGGTTCATCTGCAACGAGAAAAAAAGGGGAAAAATAATTCATCAAAATTACACATCTCTTGTAAAAAATATAAAAAAAAAAAAGATTCCAATCTATCATCTCGTACCAACCACAACCAAACCAAAAACTACCACCACTCGCTTCTTAATTTAACCCATCCATCGTCGATCGATCGATTCATATAAACGCGTTTTGCGTTTGGGTAGAGAAAGTAATACGTCTATCTCTCCACGTCACTTTGCCCCCTTGTTTAAACACCATCTCTGCCGTTGACAGGTCCGATTGTCAGAAAATAAAGGTAGCGAATGGAAAACGGAGGAGGCTGGAAAGAAGAAGAAGAGGGATAGAAAGAGAGAGAGAGAGAGAGGGAAAGAAGGGATCCCCCTCTCTCGCCCTTTCCCTCGTCCTCGGTTTGCGGAAAGTGCGGAACTGCGACACTCGTCCTTCCTTCCGTACATACACCGAAATCTTTTGGACCGCTGCGAATGGGTCGAGATCCCGGAGAACAAATAACATTGTTTATTTGTCGGACGGGTCGCGCGACCGCAGAGCGCTCTACTTCATTCCTGGGGGATGAGAATGCATGATTCATGACGCGGGGGACACGGGACTGTACTCCGATTCTCCCCTCTCTCTCTCTCTCTCTCTCTCTCTCTCTTTCTCTGGATTTTCGCTCTCGCTTTTCCTTTCTTCGGGATCGCCCTTCTTCTTCTTTTTCTTTTTTTTTTTTTTTTTCGAAACCCACCCCTTTTACGAAAGACGCGTTATCCTCCTTCCCTCCCTCGTGCGTAAAAGGAACGAGATTCGCGCGTTAGAGATCAAACGCCGTGTAATGTAAATATAAACGACAATATATATATATATATATATATATATATAATTTCTCGATCGATCGATGTTACGTTTCTTGTTGATTGTACGAAACGAATACGTATATTTCATTTCATTTCGAGCGACGGAAGAAGTAGCACGAAGTACAGCTTTCCTCGATAAATTTTGTACAAGAAGAGAATCTTTGTTTCTTTAACTGGGGTAGAGGGGAGAGCGTTTGATATGGCCGAGAATCGTGACGGCCATCTGTCTTCTGACTCGTTGTTTTTTTTTTTTTTCTTTTTCATTATGCACTATCTCCCATAAGAATTGTAGGAGGGAGAGAAAGCCAGCGGGGTAGAAACATACGTGGCAACCCCAAACTTTTTCCCCGTGCATGCACGTCAGATACCACGAGGGGTTGGCTCGCCGAGGGGTCAGTGCCACGACCACGTGGATCTCGTGCAGAAACTATACCCGCCAAGCGCGAGCCAAAGATTTCCGGGTTCAAAGTCCCGGCCACGAACGTACGTTCCTTTTCAATTATTTTCTTCTCTTTTTTATTATTATTATTATTATTCGTGAAAAATTCTCCAAATTTTCGAATTCAAATTTTTAAATTCGCATCCCCTTCTTGAACATTTTAAATTTATCACATTTCCTAAGAAGAATTGGAAGAGAGATACTTTTACTAAGTAAAGATAAGATTTTTAATTATTATTTTAATTATTGGCTCGTTGAACGAAAATAAACTGCTCGTTAAAGGGTTAGGAATTATCCTCGGCGTTACTTACATATTTCATCTAAATTACCTCGCGTGAAAATATAACACCACGATATATGTATATAAATATATATGTATATAATCATGTTTTAATAAATGGAGATAGTATATCTCATTCGTTCCTAAGTGTAATGGGGCATTAAGCAAGGTTTAACATACATCGGACGCCTGACAACCTGATTTTCACTAATGGGGAATAAATTGCTCCCATCGCACGAGCTCATAATTCCGCTCCCACGTCGGGGGATCGATTAAATTGTAATGTAACTGTCACGAGACACGTCTCAGGTGGAGGAAATCGTCGTTGCTTATTGTTTAACCTGATCCAAGGCGAAAAAAGGGGCGAAAGATTTCCATTTCCATTTCGATTAATACGGATAGAAATCGGCGTATTTACGTAACGTAACCAAAGAAATTCGATGAGAAGGAGGAGGATGTGTACGACAAGGAAAGGAGAGGGGACAGAAACCGGAAGACGCGTGATTCCAGGGATAATGAGGGGGGTGGATGGTGAGCGAGGGCAGGTCACTTTAAGCAGTGTCCTCAGGAAATTAAACTTTGAGTCGGGCACCGGCCATTAGGCCGGTTTGTTGTTGTCTCGTTGTCAGGGGAAACCCCCGTGTCCGTATAGATACTGGAACTGAGATACGACGTTTTGCCCCCCTCCCCTCTTCCAGGCTCTCCAGGGAAGTTTAACGCTGAACGCATCGTGTAAATGTCACTTACGGCCCAAGGGATCTGTACCAGTCAATAACGATCACCGACCGAGACTTACAGACGCGCGCCGATTAATGTAAACGAGTATTAACTGCTGCTCGTTAACGGCTTCGTTATGGGCAAACCAACCCGGCACTTGATTAGCGTACCAGAATGTACAATGATGTTAATGATTCCATTGAATCGGTTGACTTTGAGATAGAAACTGGCTCGATGGTGATCAAACGTGATGAGATATCGTACGCATTCAATCTTATCTTAATTTTATTAAATTCGTATTCGAGGAAAGAGATCGATTCGAAACACATTTATTTTCCATTTTTTATTTCCCAGTTTTCTAAACAGGTGGCTAAAATAGAAAGTATACGCGGAATACATTTGATTATTAATCAAGTTTTAATATTTTTTCCCCCAGTCGCGTTTTAGCCCTTTTCGCGTGTTAGCTCTTAGTTAATTAACGTAGCAGCCACTTTCCAAATTAACACACATTTTCCATTTTAGCTAAATGGATACAAAGTGCATACCTTGCCACGATATTATTTCATTACATAACGATGTTTCGTTAAATCACCATCCAACGATGTATCTGCTCCTCGAGACACAATATAACGCGTTTCGTCGATTTTCGATCGAAAGTTCGTTCACCTTTACGGCGGAATAAAAAGTCGCGAAACAGGGCGTTAATAAGAAGAATGGTAACGACTCATGAACTGTTCTGTAACGGGTTAAAAATATCCCGCCAAGGTTGAGAATCCAGACCAACGTTGAAACGTGGGCCGCGCCTTTATTTAACGATTTCGTTGAGCCGGCCGATCACGTGCCGACTCTTCGACAATTCGTGTCATCGTTGGCCATGTGCTGCACTTAGAAAATCGATCCCCTTGAGAGCCACCACTCAAGATGGATGGTAATAAGTAAATGTGTTTGCTCAGCCCAGAGCGCGCATCACGAGCAATTAATTAAGCTCGATTATCTATGTACACTGCGGGAAGCGCAGTCTTGCCCGCCTCTGCCGGATAGATGCTGAGTAATAGCCATATGCTTCAGGAAATATATGTATAATCGTGTAATCGCGTCTGTGTTTCGATTCCATTTTGCGGGCTGACGCGTTTCCAACAAAAATGAAACAACAGTTTCGAAACAACGCTCGCTTAATAACGAGCGAATACAATACCGATACGAGTTTTTCACGAGAAGAATTTTCAAAAATGATCTCGAATTATGATAACAATACTTCCTATCTAATATTTTCTTTTTCGACGTCAAAAATATAGACCCCCCGACTTGATCGACCAAAAAAGAAAAAAAAAATTCGATATTGCGAGAGGCTCGATCGAAGATACGATCGGGAAATCGATATACAAAACGACGGATTAATCTAAAAATAGAATTTCAACCGGGTATAAAATTGAAACTCCTCTCGAACAATTACAAGGCGAAAACTCTCCTCCTCCTCCTCCTCCTCCTCCTCCTCCTCTCGAGGGGCACGCGCAATTAAATTAACCATATTTATAGCTCTCCCTCCCTCTCCTCTCCAGATCTCCCCGGAATATAACCCAATTCTTTTCTCTTAGGGAGGGGGGAGGAAGAGGGATCTACGATTCCTAGAAAGCGGGGCAAAATCCAGATAGGGGATAGGTGGAGGCTGATAACTGCCGAATTGAATGGTGAATGCCGCTTCGGAAATTGAATAAGCTATCGTGTCTGAGCCGAGCCGTCGAGCGAAGCCCTGGTATTTGACCTGGCTGCGTGCAATCAATGTACTGATTGGAGATAAGGGCTCACCCCGTGTAGCCCCTGGCATCCTCCTCCCCCGCCATGATTTATATACGTACGGCCTTCGTAGGCGATGTATTCATTACTTGATTACCCTTCGGCAAGTTAATACCCGTCGTGACCGTGTAACGAGCCAGATATGCCTTCTACCAGGATCTCTGAATCTTCCCCGATCCTATGATCCATGCATTCTTCTCCCTTCCTTCTGAAATTTCTCTCCTCCGAGTAATTATTATCCATTCCTCCGTTTCTCCTCGATTTCTCCACTTTTCCTCTCTCTCTCTCTCTTCTTTTTCCTTTCCTCTCTTTCTTTTTTTTCCTCATCCGGTTTACTTTACCGTTCGTTTGTTAATTCGATAGACCGATAACCCGAGAGATGGGAGAACGTGATTGGATTTGGAACAAGGGGTGTATAACTCGGCAGGACGAGATATCGATTCAGTAAGTGGTATTCAGGTATTATTAGGGAAATTTGTAATGCGAAAATTTGAATGGAGGGGGGGAGGATGATTCAGTCTCTTTCGTACATTCACTCTTCTCCACAATTGTATCCATTCTCGAAATGGTGAAAAGGAGGGAGTTTTTTTTTAAATTCAAATCAGAGAGTTGAAAGAAAGAAGAAATGTACACGCAAAGAAGGTATACAGTTTACGCAGTCGCTGTTACGGGTACAGAAATCGGCGGAGGGATGGCTGGTCTCGAGTTAACTTCGATATAATTTGCCGCACGCGTATCCATCCGGAAACCCAGCTCCGCGAAATCTGTACCCGCTAATACGGCTAATTTGTCGACTGCTCCAAAAGCAAATGCACTTCTCCCCGCGCTCGCATCGTCGGATGCCACAGAGGAGGAGGAGGAGGAGGAGGAGGAGCGCAGCGGTTCGGATTGCCTCCTAGCATATTACGTCTAAATGGATTCAAG